GATTCTTCGGCGGGAGATGGCGGGAAAGGGAGAGGGTCCGGCGATCGAGATCGATCTCGGGACGACATACTCCTGCGTCGGAGTTTGGCAGCACGGTCGGGTGGAGATCATCCCCAACGACCAGGGGAACAGGACGACGCCGTCCTACATGGCGTTCACCGATTCCGAGAGGCTGATCGGTGGCGCGGCGAAGAACTAGGCCGCCATGAACCCCACCAACACCGTTTTCGGTGAGTTTTTTTTTCTTGAGTTTTGATTTTGTATTCTTAATCAGTTAATTTTAATCTATTTGTGGCGACTTGTTTGGGCTAGATCCGATCGAGCTGGGGGCTTTTCCGTTGGAAAGTCGGTGGCTTTTTGCATTGTGTCGGTTTTCGGCTACAAGCGGGAGATTTTCGTTTCACGCTGCAAAATTGAAAATTGGCTGCAAGATATCACCTTTTTTTTGTAGTAGATCTCGTCTCTTAGGCATTTTTTATTGCGTAGAAGGTGCATTGCTCTCCAAAAGATACAATTGTACCTCGTACTCTAGCGCACATTTCAATGGAAGCAAGAGGATTTGGGAGCGAACGGGTTCAATTTTGATGAAGTCAAGAGCTAAATTCACAATTTATAGATATCTCCAAGCGTGTGTGTGCGCGTGTGTGCGTGTGCGTGTGCGTGCGTCGGTGCGTGCATGTGCAAATAAAAACACCATAATTTATAGATTCCTAACCCAATTGTTATGTGATGGAAAAACAATATCTTCAGCAATAGAACAAATGCAACCCTCACATGAGTTGATAATCAATTCAATATCGATTCAGCAATAAGAGCTAAATTCACAAATCAAAACGCCAGCTTCAGTTCAAGATTTCGACAACGATCAAGCGATAAACGTAGTACCAGAAGAATTTTAGCTATTCTACAAAGCACTGAGTAGACTAAAAGATGAAGAAGTCAAGAGTTGAAGCCGTTCTCAGATCCTTCTACACGTTCTCCTCAACTAAGTACTGAAGAGATTGCAAATAAGACTTGTCTTATCCAAAATGTCTCAGACTCCTCTATAAAAGAATGAGTCTGAGATACTTTGGAGGGGGTATCTGTAGGTATCTAAAAATGCTTATAGATATCCACACATAATTCAAGATAAAGAGAATACGATGAAGGTCGACAATGAATGTCGTTATCTAAGTCAGAGGGGATCATTCAAAGCCAAAATAAGCAAAGAAACAAGTGAAACAACATAGAAAAACAACACGAATACATGTAATAAGTTACCACCGACGCGCGTAGGCGCGGCAGTGGAATGTGTCGCGCATATTCATGGGGCGTCTGCTTGTGATTTGCTGACGGTTTTAGCATCTTTGTGGGGTCCACGTGGCATCATAACAAAAGGAGAACGTGCACTGACGTGGAGGGATGGTTACACGCCGAGAAAAATGGCATTTTGTGGATTTAGAGTCGTGGGAGAACGGTTACAAACTTGGCTAAACGTGGCTGGAACTGTTCCTTTGGCCACGGCAGTGGCGACTTCCGCGCCTAAGGAACTGTCTCTTCAGCCGCGGCAGTGGCGACTGTCGCGCCCAAAGAGAATGTGATTGGTCAGTTGTTTTGCTTCCATTTCAACAGTTATGGACTCTTATCCCTATAAATACCTTTTTATACACGAGGACAAAGGGGGAGGGCAGAAAATGGCATAAAGACTTGAGCTTTTGTTGATTTTGAGCAAGAGAGAGAGTCTTCATCTTTCACAAACACTTTCAAGAAGCTTTTTGGCGATTCCTAAAGATCTAAGCACTGACTTAATCTTTGAAAGAGTGAACATCTTACATCGATAAGATATTCGCTTAAGATTCTTACTTCGATAAACGAAGAAGAACATCCAAAAGCCTTCACGGTTCAATCAGAATATGTGAACCGGTGGTCCACGGGCTAACGCACCCCCGGCACAGGCAAAGATCCCACAAAAACAGGAGTTGATAAACAATTTCTGTGTTATTTTCTAGGAAGTTGTAATTTTTTTCTTATTGTGTAAGAGGGGTCTTATAAAAAAGCTATTTTCTTTTTGAATTCATTGTAAACAATCAAAAATATAATGAATTCCACAATGAAAACAACTTTCGATGAAAACAGCGTGCATGTGCAAATAAAAACATCACAATTTATAGATTCTTAACCCAATTGTTATGTGATGGACAAACAATATCTTCAGCAATAGAACAAATGCAAGCCTCACATGAGTTGGTTAGATATCTCCAATCGTGTATTTGTATATTTACGTTTTAGGTATGAACACTAAGATGAAAGGTTTGGATCGTTGAGAAAAGGGCTTGTTTCATAGTCTTCTCCCTCACGGCAAGCTAGATTAGGTGACACCTTAGGTGCTATTTCCTTATGAAGGAAGATGGATGAGAAATAAATAGATGGAAAATATGAAGAAAGAGCCACCTACCTCCAGAACTGAGGGGAACAATGCCATGCCACCTAGAATGCTAAGCCCCGTCAAGTAAGCACTTTGTCCAGGTATTTCATACTGTATAGCTGTTGTACCATAGTCCAAAATAAAGAGATGGACGGCAGTCAACACCACGGCTTCAATATATCTCGTTTCGACAGCCAACTGAATTGCCGCAGGAATTGAGGACAGCCAAAGCGGGGTTATAGGCAAGATAGCGCTCATCCAAGCAAAGAAGGTCGAAACATAGAGGAAATGGATTTGGTAGAACCTAAACAAGAAATAGGTAAAAACCCCTTGAAACAGGGCCACCTTAGCAGTAGCCAAAAAGACACTACTAACAGCATGACCAAGAACCTCTGCGCATCGAACCCTAGCCGCCTTTGAGATCGGAAGCATATCAAGGACATGATCCATGACGCCCCCCGATTCTGAAGCGATCAAGTAATACAGAAGCCAGAAGAAAACAGTGAGCTGAGAAACGAAATTCAACAGCCCAGCAGCCCCGGAAATAACTGAAAGGGCTGCCTTGAACACCAAGTTCGCACCCCCAGACACGACCATGGTGCTGCTAGCAAACACACGTTTGGACACGTCGATGCTCTGAAGAGCGAAACCTTTAAGCTTCTCCACCAAGTCCTCCGTGGCGATCACGGACAAAAACTCCGCCAACAGACCGTACGTCTCGTCGCGGATCACCCTCCACTCCTGACCCCGGAACCTGAAGATGAGGCGCCTCAGCTTGCCAGGGGCAGGACGGCGAGGCGCTTTCTCGTAAACCACGGAGGCGGAGGATGAAGAGGAGGCGTTGTTAATAAAATGAGACTCCAAGGGCCTGACCAGGTAACGTCTGAACCCATCCACCATCTCCGTAGCATTGTACTGAAGGGCAACGGAGTCCACGTACCGCGACACGCCCTCGTAGAAGCTGGTGGTCCACGACTCGATCCAAGTCTCAGAGGGGACCGTTTCATCAACACCTGTGTGTATCTGTGATTTGTCCACCACATCCACCGGCCAGCGGCCACAGCGCCCGCATCTCTCCTCCGACAGTACCCTGCTCTGACCTCCACGGTGGGTTTCTCAAATTCCCAATGACCAGCCGTCCTTTCGCCCATCGACCCCCGATTCTATGTAGGCGAGAAGAAAGAAGCAGAACCGGAGACAGGAGCCGGGCGATCATGACGACGATGGAGGCTCACGCCACCAGGGTTTGAGACCTGTTGTAGCACGAACGAGGTCCAGGCACCATGCAAGCCATTGCGGGCAGCTTGGGATCAGATCACGGGTACGTGTTGAGACCGGTTCGGAATTCTTTCTGATCAGCATTAGTCGCGAAAGCCGCAAGTTCAAGGTTACCCTGACTGCTCCTGACAGGGGTGGGGCGGTCGAGCATTGGTGCTTATGAGTGCCGCGGGGCGTTTTTGGCTCTTTGCTCCGTCGCCGGCTGCCGCCGACTGGGCCGATGAGATCGTGGCGTGAGACAGTCGTCTCCTGGCGATCCTCTCTGCGGCCACGAGATCCGGAAGGCGTTAGGAGACGGAAGCCGGAGTCATGGAGGACTGGAAGACGGGCTCCACGCGGCCGAGAGCAGGACCGATCGAGGCTTCGTGGAGGGAGGACGTAACGCGCGCCAGGAGACCGAGCCACTGATTTTACATAGGCTTATATTTTTGAGAAGACGAAGTCTCCGGTCCTCGACTCCTGCGGGGACGAGCGGAGCTATCCCTGGCGGCGGGAAGAGGCGGAGGTGCAGGGCGGGTGTGGATGTCAGAGCGAGCGGAGGCGGCGCGTCTCGAGCGGAGAGTGACGGCGCGTAGGGGGGACGGTCTTGGGGAGGGGGTCAGAGAGGCCGAGGGGACGGGGCGGCCCAGAAGGAGACGAGGGCAGGTGTGGCTGAGCTCGCGGGAGGGGCACGGAAGCAGAGGAGGGCCCACTGATGGGCCTCCAAGTACACCCCTCCAGTCGAGGCGGGCCAGCCGCTAGAGGGAGGGCCAGGGGGAGAGGCGCCAGGCCCTGGGGACAAAGCGTGGGCCATGGCCGATGTAGCCATGGCCAGTGCAATACGTTCCGTCGGTCTCGAGACAGAGACTGGGGGCATCGGGTTACGCGACCTCAGCGACTCCTCCTCCCCCTCCCCCTCCCCTTCATCACCCTCCTCCTCATTATTGCCTTCTTCAGGCTGGAGAGCTCGGGGCTTCGATTTGGATTTGGACTTGGGTTTCGGACCTTTGGGTTTGGATGCCGCCACTATTGTTGCCATTTTGATGATGATGATGATGACGACGACGACGATTCAGAGAAAGGCTTGACGCCATTGGAGATATCGAGGGCGCGCCGTGGCGTCGCCCGCATTGTTTTTCGGTGGACCTGACCTTTGTTTCAGCAGGTTGTCTTGTATGTTAAGCGGCTGTTTGGTTGCACACTTTTTGAGAAAACTTTTCTCAAAACATCAGACAATGGTAAATTTGTAATTAAAAGTTTTTCAGAGATTTCTGTAAATTGTGTTTGGTTCAACAAAAAATTTACAGAAATATTTTCTATAAAATATCAAAACCTACCAAATTTTACAAAAAACAATTTCCTCTCAAAATGAGAGGAAATCACCAGAAATCTGACACATACCATATTTAATTAAAAACCTACCAAATCTTGTTATTTTCTATAAAGTTATGAGCTATTTTCTTGTTTTGAACCAAACAAGCAAAGTACAAAAAACAAGAAAATTGGTACTTTTTGATTTCTCAAAACTTTTCCTATAATTTTTTTAAGAAATACAAGGAAATCATATTTTAGGTGGAAAACATTTCCTATAATTTCTAGAAATTGAACCAAACACCCCCCTAACAGGCGAATCACTTGTATGTTTATAATTTGATTTTTTTTTTTTGGGACGACATATTGGTATATTTTTTTTTTCTTTGGCGACATATTGATATATTATTTGTTCTCCGACGACAAATGGGCCTCAAATTTGGCCGGACTCAATTTTATGACGAAATTTTTCACGTGACGCCTCACGTGATGCAAACATGACTGTCGGCGTGGTTCCCAGCGACAAATAATTGCAATTATCCCATCCACTGACTTAGAAAAGGCACGGCTGCGTGAAATAGTTTAAGTCTTGCTTTATCAAAAATAAAAATAAAAAAATGTTCAACCTACAGTAACATCGTTAGAACATAAAATTATAACCCATAATCTCGGTGAAAATTTTAAAATCTTATTGTAACGGAGGAGCTTTACGTTTCATCAGTCTCCTAGATTAGTTGTGACAGAAGTCAAACAAATACATCCTTCTGCACCAACTTTTGTTGAGGAACATAAAAAGGATAAACTCATCAAGATACCTTCACTACTTTCTGAAGTGGTCAGGACCTCTCAGGCGCACCTGCCGTTGAAATCCATACAACTCTGATGCATTCTATTGATCATGTACGGACACACACAGCCTATATCACCTCGATCTTCATCTTCTACTCAATACAAATTTTTACAGTGAGAAGTTGATCGAGTGAAATTCATAAAGACACTTGCTTTTTCTGCCACTCTTCTGGTAATACTTTGTGCAGAATGATGCCACTGACTCATGCATAGAATCTGGACCGCACACGAAGACCCCTACTTTCGATTCTCCTGCCTCCCTTATGTGTTCCAGAAGCATCTCTGCAATAATCATAACATAAGAATATAACCGATTACACTCTTGTCGATATCTAAGTTCAGATAAGAAAGAGGTGTTTCAGAGTGTTACCCGTGAGATTAGGCCTCTGTCCGTAACTTATTTCATGCTTCGGCACATCCTGTATCCTTTCGGAGTTCATCGAGAAACTCCTGGAGTTCTTGTCAGAGGGTTTCGTTGTTTTTTTCCACATATACAGAATTGTTACCATTGTGGTACTACAGCTTGTAGCAATGATAAATGAACATATGATCAGTAGGTCGCTGATCCATGAAGGGGTTTTATTCAGAGAGTTTCTTTTGCTTTGGTGTACGAAAACATGAGTTAGACACACAAGAGCAACTAAGAAAACAATCGAAGCCAATCCAGTGATTGTAGCCTTCGATAGAGAACTTTCAGGTCTTGGTACTCGATCACTACTCGAACCTTCACCCAAGTTGATCGTCTTTAACTGTGACACCTCAAGTAACAACTCTTCTACTGATGTTCTTGACCCCTCCTTTCCTTTAGTTACAAATAGCCTTAGTTGCACACGTCCAAGATCAGCCGGCTCTTTCAGCAGCACAGAAGAAATTGGGGTTAACATGCTAAGATCTTGGGTTTTTCTCACCGCATATATTAGTTGAACCTTTTTACAGTAGTTATTCATCCTCCCATTCCTTGAAGCAACATCTTGCAAAATGCTCAGAAATGGAGTTATGCCAGATCCTCCCGCAATTAGAATCAAGCTGTCATACCTTTTTTTTTTTTAAGAAATCAACTTAACAATTAATAACATAAATAATTACTTGTGGAACATCTCAAGTTGTCAATGTAAAAAATTACCTATGATACGGAAAATTCATAGGACCGTATGGACCTTCTACTGCAACAGCGAAATTTTTCACATCATCAGATGTTGAATCGCCTATTGATTTTAGCTTATGGTAAAGAGAATTTGTCCATGATCCTTGACATTTAATTAGAAGGGAGAGCCTGTCATCTTCCATATTGGAGCTTGAAGTGATGCTAAACGGGTGCCACTGGAAATTTGATATGCTGGGTATCTTTACAAATAATGTGCTTGTAGGATTGTACTGCATACCTGCAAATATACTCAAAAAGAGAAACTAATTACTCAAATACTCTCAATATTTCTGTTTCCTAGTTTATAAGTTATAAAAGTCGTATTCTCACATGGATCTTTAGGGAGAGTGAGTTCTACTGCTTCGCAGGGAAGTATACGTGCAGAAATAAGGCAAGTTGTTCTTCTTGACTGTATTACACGCAAAATCTTGTCGAGGGCAAAGAGAAGTACACCAGAGAATACCAAGTAAAAGTGACCAGCTCCAGCATGAAGCAAGAAGAATATCAGGAAGAGCGCATAGAAATGGTGGGTTAAGTAGAAGAACTGAAAGTTCTTCCTCCTTAATTGAGGAAGTGATGTTATCCATATTATCACCAATATCCCCAGAGTAATGGCTCCAGCAAGATACACCCGTCCCGTCCTTTGCCACCTAGTGATCTTTTAACCATAAAGAAAGGAGAAATTCGTAAGTATGAACTGAATTTTTGAACCTATGATGATTAAGTATACGATAGAATATGATCTATTTTCTGATTTATGTGATGATCACATTTAAAAACTTGCTCAGGTTTAGTTGTTTTCGTTTTCTGTGGACGAGAGATCGAAATTCAACAACACCATGTAAGTAAGTAGATAGAGTTTACTGTCATTTTGCCTTGCATTGTTGACCTCTTAATTTCAGATGAATAAAGGGATTTTCTACCTCCATCCAGAGGCTATGCTTTGATCCCCAAACACACATTATGATAGTTCCATGCAGGACCGAGAAGAACATGATTGCATTGCCAATCCAAATATGGTATCTAATCGAAGCTTCAAATTGGATGCCACATATATTGAATAATGCCATCCCCCTTAAGACAGGAATAAGTAAGAGAGCTAGGCATGCTTCACTTAGAGAACCAAACCGAACACCTAGAGACATTACCTTAAGCTGCCTCCTGAATCGAAACAAACCCGTGATGAAAATAATATAGAAAACCTATTATGCTGAGAAATTAGTAAGTACCATGTTGAAAGTGAATGTTATCACTGACCTATTCAATGGAATAGATTTTGAAGGTGTCAACTTCTTGAAGTCACTAGCAACATTCGAGTAGTAAGTCCATGCGAGGAACATAATGAACAGAGCTGAAGCCATAAGCTCACAGCCTGATATTATGCCCATAGGACTCCTAGGGATGATTGGATTTGAAAATTTTCCGATGAAATATGCTTTTTTCCTGTGATTAAGTATCTTTCAGTATATAATTACTGAATTTACTGTAATCATATAAATTAATTTCGTTGAACGTACCTGATTCTCCCCTCTTTAGCATATAGATGAAGATAGATATATCCAAGTACGGCCACAGCCAGAAGCGGAAAGCAGAAGACAAGCACATTGATACCTGGAAGATCAACGAGGGGTTATAACGATGACAAAAACAAAGAAGGAAGAAAATGACTCCTTAATATGCACTGTGGACAACCTGACTCCCCAGTGAAAGTAGAGTCAGCCCAGTCTTCAGCCTTGTGCCATGATTTCTTCCACAATTGTGTTGGCTTGAGAATCCATACGCAACACCAAGCGCCTAGTATCAAACCAATTAATATCTTAAGGAAAGTAATCTGGATGGATTTGGATACCATTTTCATCTCCTAATTTTTTTTTAGCAAATATTGGTTTGAATCAAGAATCATCGCGACGGTATTTAAAGTGGTAAGTGGGTATGAGGAACACGGAGCAGTGCCCACTCCTAAGGATAGCAATGATCATCTTTCCGTTCCCACTTTCGATGAGCTTTTTTTGGTGAAGAAATCGATTGATGTGCATCACTGCGATCTGTTATTCTTCCACTCCTCCCTCTATTGCCTCAGCAAGCAATTATGATGATGATCAAGATTCGGCTTTTTGTTTGAGATTTACATATGTTGTTGTGGTGGGGACTGAAGCTGCAACCTGTCCGGTTCGTCTTTATCCTTTTTGTTATCTTCATCGGATCGGTTCTGTTAAGAAAGAGGCATTGCCAATTTGCCATGATACTTGAGATGCAGCACTGACAGGCTTTTGTAATCGTCAAATGAGGGATTTGAGGACCACTGCAGGGAAAAGAATTGACACTCACTACATGTAGATGAATTCCTGACAGGTAAGTTTGTAATCGTGGTAAGTTTGACCTTAAATTAATAGTGGTTAAAAAATAAGTAATTGGACATTTGAATATATTTTTTTAAATCTTGTCCCCCCTTTATAATGGTGGTAGCAGTGGTGACAATAAGCATTTGGATGGTACTGTCATTGTTGCAGAGTGTGGTTGGGTTAATCTGGTTGGTGATTGTTTGTTGGAAAAATTGCAAAGAAGATAATAAAGAAAATTTGACTTTGATTCCTTTGATCTCTATTACAACTAGATTACAAAAGAGAGGAAAACGAATTTGGTTTTCCCCTTTGTTTAAAACTGAGTTCTTCTTGGTAGCGATGGAATGCCTCCTTCAATTGCTCGCGTCGAATTTGCTCTCCGTTGACGATCCGACTGTCTCTCTCTCGTGGGAACAATGAACTTCTGTGGAAAGTTTGGTGTTTAACTCTGAATGAGTTTTTAAGAACTCTGAACGAGTTTGAACTCTGTGAGTAGAGTTGTTGGAACCGAAAATTCGGTTAATGATCAAGCTGTCATTCTGTTGCTGACGAATCCCCTCAGATTTGATCTTCTGAGATTGATTCAAAAATCCTATCTTTAAGGATTTCGCTGCTGCCAAATCTCCAAACCCGAGTGGTTTTGATCTTTCCTAAATCTTCTGTTTTCCAAGAACCAGCCGCCAGCCTTTTGATAATTGGAAAATCTCCAACCTGTGCGGTTTAGATTCTCCGAAATCCAACCCTTTACTTCGTTGGGTTTGTTGAGCTTTTATAGGGGGATAAGAGGTTGTAACTGACCCCTATATCCGCTCCTACGTGGGTGAAAACCCCTCAGAACGTGGGATAAACGGTTTTGGAATCGTTCGACTTATGTTTGAACAAGTCAAACGCCCAATCTGGCGTTCAGAACCCAAGTTGATTGAACCCCTATGAACGCGAGGGTCGCCCGCGTTTGGATTGTGCCTTAGAGACGCGGGGGTCGCCTTCATTTCCGAAGTGGTGACGCGGGGATGACATCCGCGTCTCAGAATGAGCTATTTGACTTGTAGCTTCTTCTGTGTTGCATTGCAAGGACCGTTGTTCAGTAATCCTGGCTTTAGCTGTTGTGGAGTGTGAAAGTCGTCAGATTGTAACTTTCACTGTAGATTGTGAAGACCGCTGAGTAGAGTTTTCATCAGTTGTCGGAAGTGTCGTTGAATTGTAACTCTTCTCGATCTATGTGAAAAGCCCTCTATTCGCAACTTTCGTTCACCGACCCGAAAGCTATTTGATGGTAGCTTTCGTTGTAGGAGCTAGACGGGAATCAACATCCATAGTGTTTTGAAGATGAATATTTGCCCACAGCTCTCTACCAAAAAACTATCTGATTGTATGTTTTGATTATCGGCGCGAAAGCTATTTGATTGTAGCTTTCGTTGTAGGAGCTAGGCAGGAATCAACATCCATAGTGTCTCAAAGATGAATATTTGCCCACAGCTCTCTACCAAGCAACTCACCAACTAAGTCCACCCTTTTATTTCTGAAATCATCCCACTACTCATCAGCATCTCTAATAGTTGTTAATATAATATTAGTGCTGTTGTCGCAGCCATCAAGATCAATCATCTCAGAAGTGAGGTCGTGTTTGTGGTGATTGTGGAGTTGCGGATGCAATGATTGGGAAGTCGTCTGATTGTGACCTCCATTGTCGGAGCTTGTTTGGATAAGCTATCTATTGTGATTTTTAGACAGCCTACAGAACCCCCTCCAAAGTTTTCGAAAGTTCGCGGTTGGCTGGGACGAATTTTCGGAATACTTTGGATCCCAAAATTTGGTGGATTGATTGCTCACTCCGTTTGATCGGGCCTGATGATTTCGCCGTTGTTGATTGTGATCTATCTGTACTCCTCCAATAGACTTCCCAGTGGAGTCGTTTGTTTCTTCCCGGCTTTATTCGCCTTGATGATTGCTGTTAGCTCTTCTGTTAGTTATCAGGGGCCGTGTCGTAGCCTTGGTAGTCAAGAAGTTGCTAACATAGCGGTCCAAACACAGAGATAATTTCTGCCTTTGGGGATTGGAACGCGTGGGTGAGCCCAGCGTTGAGAATTTTGAACGCGAACGTGAGCCATCGCGTTTGGAAGCTCAACCAACTCGAACGCGAGGGTCGAGTTTGGGCGGGCTGATGGCCTCGAATCCCGTCCGTTACGATTTGACAGCTCATAGCTGTCTATAAATAGACCGCTAGGGGTCAAATCAAGAGTCATTTGACTCTTCTTGAAAATTTTCTTCTTCTCGACCATCGAGAACTGTTTCTTCTTCATCCGACGAGATTCAATGGCCCACCCAAGAAGCAACCGCCTTCCAAATCCGATTGCTGCCTGCCGCTCGAGGGTCTGCCTCATCAGCGCTGGCCGGCGGCGCTGCTGCTCAGGCGGATATGCCGCCCCAACTCCCTTTGATTGGCGGTGAGTATGACCTCCATGGCCATTAAACTTGCTTCGGCAAGTTCTGATCTTGAGATCAACGAGGAAACTCGTTTCAATAACGCGGGGCTTGACTCCGTCGTTTCATCTTTCTTGATGCGGGGGTCGACCTGCGCGTCTGAGATTTTTGACGCGAGGGTCAACCTACGCGTCTGAACTTTCTGACGCGGGGTTCGACTTTCACATCTAAGCTTGTCTGACGCGGGGTTCGACCTTCGCGTCTGAGCTTTTTGACGCGAGGGTCAACCTACGCGTCTGAACTTTCTGACGCGGGGTTCGACATTCGCGTCTAAGCTTGTCTGACGCGGGGTTCGACCTTCGCTTCTGAGCTTGTTTGACGCGGGGTTTGACCTTCGCGTCTGAGCTTGTTTGACGCAGGGTTTGACCTTCGCGTCTGAGCTTTGATTTTAAGTTGTCTAAATCTTTTCCTCTTTTTGCAGTGCGTCATACTAGCGAGCCTCTTCTTTTTCGCCACCATTTTGGACATGAAGGTGGTGCAGACATGAACATAACCTTCAGCTCGTGTTTAGAACTCCCAGTTTTCCGGATGAGGGAGAAGAGTCGCGTGGAACTGATCACCCAAGCTTCTCATGACACTCTTAGGACATTGGTTTCGGACGCTCGACTTGAAAGCCCAAGCCGTAGGCCAATAGTCAAACCTGGATACCTCTTCGGGGACTTTGTTGACTTCGACGCAAGCACTGCGTATGATGGGGATTATAAGTGGCTGCGGAAAGTTGAGGACCGCAACCTTTTCTTGCCCAATATGGAGAGGATGTTCCCCATATCCAAGGATTTAGAACTCCTGGTTGGGTTCATTCTCCGGCGGCGGGATGGTGGGCCCAGATGACCAAGTTTGTTCTGAAGGAATTAGAAGCTCCCCTCGCTCAAGCTGGGTTGCTGGTTCCTGTGCGGGCTACTGAATTTGGGATCGTCCAGAGCCACTTTCATTTCTTCTCCATATTGGAGAAGTATAATCCTGATAGTTGCACTTTCTTCACCCCTGTGGGGGAGCTAGGCTTCGCCCTTCACGAGATGCACGAAGTCTCGGGTCTTGTCCTCGGGGATTTGCCGTATGAAGAGTTCGTTCCGGGATCGGCGGAACTCCAGATTTTAAAGAAGACCAGTCCGGAAATTTATGCCACTCTTTGGGAAGTCATGTGTCACTTCCACATTTGCATGTAGCTGACGGGGGCCCGTGGAGGTGGCATTAAGCAAGTGTCTTGGGTGAAATATTTATTCCATAACTTGACCACTAAAGGGGCCTCGGTGACCCGATTGCCCGTCAGTACTTTGGAAGAGGTTCAGGCTCGTATTGACGACGCTACCTCCCATTACACTAACGAGGCCAAGGAAGATGTTTTCCCGGCTCACACCGAGTTTGAGAGCTTTCATTATCAAGCTCTGATTCCAATTTCCGACACAGCGCTGCTAGCCGGGTTCTTAATGTTGTGGCTCAAACACTGTGTCGTCCCTACTAGGCCGGTCGATGCCCTGGCCGTTGAGGTAGTCTACCCAGCAGTCCTCTTGGCGCATGGGAGACCTGTGAGCCTCCTCAGTGCTATGGTGGGTTGTCTGCAGTATGGATTACGGGAGTTGGCCTCTGACTTTGTTGATGTTACAGAGGTGGAATCCGAGGGCCACAAGACCTTCAAAACTCCCAATTCCCGGGTGCCGATGCCGTATACATATTTGATGGCTTGGTACGTGCTCCACTGTCCTCCTATAATGAGTGCAGCTTCTCCCCCGGGAGACTCATTCATCCCATTTGTGCAGCGACTAGAGTCTGCGAAATGGGAAGGGGGGTACATGGTTAGAATCCGCCAAATCTTAGCGCGGGACACCAACTTCCATATCTATCGCTGTTTCCCTGATTTTGAGGGCGGCGTCTATGGCGCAGAGTATCAGGACGTAGCGGGTTCTAATGGATTCACTCATCTGAACGGGGGTGTTTTCCATTGTCTTCTATCCATCAGGCCAGGCTACCTGATCTTTCGGCAAGGCGTCAACTGCTTCATTGAACCTTACCAACCCTATAGATTCGCTCGCCAATTTGGGTATGATCAGTTGTACGTTGGGAACCCTCGTCCTTAACTCTCAGTCATAGGCAATTTATATGAAGGAGCCAGGGCTTGGTATTATTCTGTAGCAGGTTGTACCAAAGCCATCTTCAAGCTTCCCCAGAAAACTGCTAATTCCTATACCTCCATCAGCTTCTGCAATTGGTATTACGCCGCTTCTCAGACTCCCAACTACAACTTGAATACATCTTGCCTGAAAGACATTAGGCATATGTATAATTTAAGGAAGGGGTCCAAGACATCCCGCTTGAAAGGGATCGATGAGTTTCTGTCCATCGAGAATCAATCTGCTGGACAAGAAGAGGAACAGGCAGCTGAGCCTGCTCCAGGGGAAGAGCAACGAGTGGTTGATCCTCCCGTGACAAGAGCGGCGGGGAAAAGAAAACTCTCTGCAGATGAGGCCGGCAAATATGATAAGCAAATTCGTC